TGGATCCTTGTTACTACGGTCGGTCTTCGCCGACCGCCGATCTCGCCGTTGTCGAGAGTCGTCAACAAGTTTGATGGCTGGCGATTCTGGATTCTCATGTTCAAGAAAGGATAGCTTAAGAGTCATCTATACCTCACAAGGGAAGTGGGAAACGGAGCTCGTTGAAGCACATTCCTCAAACGATTCTAACCAGAGTCTCACTTTCCGAAAGCGCCAAATGACGTATTTCAATTGGAGCAATTTCGCTTGGGAGGCATCCAGGGGTCCACGACGTCAGGATAGCTCGTCGTTGCATTCCGGGGCTGAAAAAAGATACGAGGGTTTGCATTATAGAACGGGATATTTTAGTTATTTTAGGAAACGGGAAGGTTTACATTTTTTTGACACCATCTGAGCTTTTAATGCGACAAGCATTTCCCATTCTATTTTTGGATTAGATTATGATAGTGGATCCTCCAGGTACCCTCTTAGGGTCTTTTAAATTCACGACTCGGCGAATGCCTTCTGAAAATTTTCTCATCTTATCCTTCAAATTCCTGTCAGTTGTTCACTTAGACCCTCAAGACCATCTCGTTGGAAATGGGAATGATAACTTTCTTCAGGAAGGAGGCCCCCCTCAATTTCCGCCATTTTAGATGAATTGGTCGTAGTTTTCTGACGAAGCCTGCTCCTGGAATATAAAATTGATTCAGATCGGCTCCTGGCATCCAGATGCTACGAGAGAGATACCTACTTTTCAAGAAACAAGTGTACGAAGAAGCCTCAAGATGGTCCCATGATCTTGGGCAGTCTGAAAATAGACAGGATAGAGGGGCGTTGAAGCAAACAACGCTTTCCCTCCTTTCCCCCTCCCACTCCAAAGGAGTCCATGTATTCTTAAAGATATTATAATTAAAAGAGGTTTCAACATTCGGACTCTTTAGAGACATGAAGCGCTTTTTTCAGAGGCCTTCCGTAAAAAGAAGCGCCCTTTCTCATCCCTATGTGAGTCTTATTGCTCGACCGTTACAGTTTATAGGAAGTAGGAAAAAATTTATTTTTTTAAAGATCTAAAAGATAATCTTTCATTTCGTAATACAGCCATAAATTGCGTGATCTAGGTACTTCTAAAATTTAATATCATATTCCACAGAGGTTTAACTTGCTGAGTTTAACTTGGTTTATTGTGCGCCTGTATTTATAGAAGAAATTATTGCTACGAAAAGTCCCTCTTTGGCTAATGCGGATTGTGAAGCGGTTAAACACTTAAAGAAGGCCCTCACGAGGATGAGATTGTCATCATTGGCCCTGCATAACTCGTTGTGAGGATCGTAACGAAGTAAACGCTGCAAGCCTTCGATGTCGAAATGCGACCAATCCAGCTCATCGAGATAGTCCACCAAGGTCTGGTTCTTCCCGTTGTTTGACACCATGTACTCGTAGCCATCTTTCCTGTTGAGAAGCATTCGTCCCGGAAACAGCCAAGGACCTACATGGCGTGGGATCATAAATGGAAAGAAGCACCCACGGTTCGAGCCGGACGTTGGAGATGCGGAGCAGAGTGAAGAGCTTCTCGTAACTGGGGAGGCTGAGGCAAGAGGCGATTTTCTGAGCTGGGTAATAGTGAAGGAATGCCAGGCACATTTCCTCCTGGGTTCCAAAACCACCCACGGTCACCGATTTCCGATTTGACGAATTGTAATAGCATTCTGGAAATAAGTGAAATGCTAGGTAACGCAATCTTGAATGGTTCCATCAAATCATATTTTAGGAAGAACTTGCCCAAGGTGAGTTGATCTCCAGGGTACAGAGTGACTGGTTCCCGAAGCACTCGGGCCTGCTGGAAATTGAAGTCATAATTGTCATCGTTCAGGAGCCAGGGCAATTCCTTGCCGTTTCGAAACAGCCGAACTCGCAATTTCCTTCCTGCATTCGATCGTGCATGTTAGGATTCTCAGATGAACAGTCTGAAAATTACGTCTGAATCGTTTC